CCGGCTCTCGTTTTCAGGAGGAAGGCCGGGCCGCCCACGTTCCCCCAGGAGTTGGCTGTTGCCTGCTCGGCCCTCAAATCCTCTGGAGAAAACCAGCTTCGGGCCGGGCGCGGTGGCTCACGCCTGTAATCCTAGCTCTCTGGGAGGCCGAGGCGGGCGGATTGCTCAAGGTCAGGAGTTCAAAACCAGCCTGAGTGAGACCCCGTCTCTACTGTAAAATAGAATGTAAAATAGAAAGAAATTAATTGGCCAACTGATATGTATATAAAAAAAAAAATTAGCCGGGCATGGTGGCGCATGCCTGTAGTCCCAGCTCCTCGGGAGGCTGAGGCAGTAGGATCGCTGAGCCCCAGAGATTGAGGTTGCTGTGAGCTAGGCTGACGCCACGGCACTCACTCTAACCTGGACAACAAAGCGAGACTCTGTCTCAAAAAAAAAAAAAAAAAAAAACCAGCTTCGCACATTGTGCAAGACGTTAGGGCCCTTTCCACAGGGAACACCCGGACCCTGGCCGGAGGATGGGAGTGGGGGGCCGAGTCCGCCCACGCCTGGCCCCTCAGCGGCAGGGGCTGCCGGGCTGCGGGGTCTGGGCAGGGACGGGGCTGCCCCGAGTCTGCCCCTCTGCTGAGCTCCAGGGGAGGATGGAGGTGGCAGCCGCTGGGCTGGGGAGGAAGAGAGGTGCAGCCCAGGTCGGGGGGCCAGGGCCCAAGGCCCGAGGGTGGGCAGGACAGCTCCAGTGAGCACGTGTCAGGCCCCGGCCTGTCTGTCCCCGAGTCCCCCCACCCCCAGCAAGGACGGGCCACGGAAGGGAGTGGGGCAGCTTGTGCCCTGTGATTCCTGTGCCCCAGGGAGGCCAGGCGCCTGGAGGGGGTTCCTGACTCGGGCCAAGTCAGCATGTTTTCTGGAAGCCTCCAACATGCCAGACTGCTCAGGGAAGGCAGGGAAGTGCTGACACAACTCCCAGGTTGGGGCAGGCCCCGCTTTCGGCCTCTGCCTGCCCTCCTGGGGCCCGTGTCCCTTGTCCCCGAAGGCCCCGCGTGGCAGGCCCCAGCAGGTCGGGGCGGGAGGGCCCAGCCCCAGGCAGGGAGCTCGCCTGCAGGGCGCGGGCGGGGCCGGGCTGCGTGGCGCACAGGCTGCCCGGTCCCGGAGGACCCCCGGGAGGGTGGGGAGGTGGGTGACGGCCATGGCAGGCTCGTAGGCAGTGCCCAGCCTCGGTGCCGCCCTGCCCGCCTTCCCTGCCGCCCGCCGGAGCTGTGGCTACTCCCAGCCCCCGCCCGGGGCAGGGCCGGCTTCCACTCCCACACCTGTGCAAACATCCGCCCGCTGCCCGGGAACACGGCCCCTTTGTGCCCGGCTTGGCACGGGCGCCCCGGCCCGCGCCGTCAGCTGCAGCCTGCGCCTGGGCCACCGTGTGCCCTGGCCTGGCCATTGTTCCCGCTGGGCCCCGCGCCCCTGGCCGCCCTGGGCCCCCCTCCCCTGCCTGGGGCTCTGGGGCAAACAGCTCCCATTCAGCTGCCCCTGCAGCTGTCTGGGGGGAGCGGCCCCCGCGGCGTGAGTTATGGGCTGCGTTCCTGGCACTCCGCGGACAAACAGAACTTGAGACAGGCGGGACGGGGCAGCCCAGATGGGGGCTCCCGAGCCAGTTGCCAGTTTGCAACTGCACCCTGAACAGTTGTTTCCTCTGGGCTTCCTTTGTCCCGGCCTCCCTCACCGCCCCCCACTCCCAGGAGTGAGTGCAGCAGGCCCAGCCCCCCCCCCGCGCCCACGCAGGCGGACACGGTGGGAGAGCCACGGAGAGCCACGGCAAGGCTGAGGCCCGCCTCGGGGCGCCTACAGGCGGGTGGCTTCCGGGCCTCCGGGCCAGTCCCATCTGCACGCTGCGTCTGTCCCAGACCTTGCCTGGGCTCTGGGGGGGACTCCTCAGATGCACCCCGAAACAGGGCTGGAGCTGCCCCAGCAAAGCCCCACACGCTGGTGGTCCTGACACAGAAGAAAGCGATTTCACGTGGAGGCCAGAAGTCTGAAACCGGGGTGTCGGCGGGGCCGTGGTCCCTCCGGAGGCGCGGGGAGAACCTCCGCCTGCCCCTTCCGGCCCCAGTGACCCCAGGCGTCCTGGGCTTGTGGCCACTTCATCCCTTCTGCCTCTGTCTCTCTCCTTCCTTACGGGGACACTTGTCGTTGGGTTTAGGGTCCACCCAGATGGTCTGGGACGATCGCATCTTGAGATCCTTAATCACATCTTTGAAGACCCTATCTCCAGATAAGAAGAGCACGTTCTGTGGGGCCGGGCGGGCGGGCGTGAATTGGGAGAGGGGGGCGCAGCCACCGCAGGGTGGCGGGTGTTTTCCAGGACTTGGTGGGAAGGTCCCTCCCCTGGCTGGGCCTCGGTTTCCACAGCCGGCAGGTGAAGGTGCTGGCTCGGTGGCTGGCCACCCCTCCCGCCCCCCCCTCCCCAGGGTGGAGGCGCCAACTCGGATGTGAGACCTCCTTCGCCCCCGAGCGTGGCGCCCGCGCCTGGCCGCCGAGGCATTCGGGGAGGATTTAAGACTTTTTTCTCTGCCCTTGGAACAAAATGCGTTTGTTTGTGTTCAAGTTTGAGCAGAGGAAAAGCAGTTTTTGCAAACACGGGCTCCTCTGTTCAGGGCCCGGGGGTCTCTGCACACAGGAGGCTGCTGGGCTCTGTTTACCCCCCTGCCCCTGCGTCTAAATTTAGACTGGAGAGTGAAAAGCTGGAATCCCATCCCTACGTCTCAGCCACCTTTTAAAATAGAGTCTGACTGCTTGCTGTTTGCCCGCTCCTCACCTGGAGCCTCAGACGGCTCCCGCCTCCTGGCGGGGTGGGGGATGGGTGTGGGCTGGGGGGGGGCTAGACAGTCACATGCGAGCCCCGTGGGCCTGTCCCGCGGGAGGGGCTGGTGTCAGGAGCTCCTTTAGGCCGGAGAAGCCCCATGGGGGGACCAGGGGTGGCAGGGCCCGGCCACCCACCCCAGCCTCCTGACCCCACCCGGACCGGGGCCCTTCCTCTGCGTGGGGGTGCCGTGCAGCTGCGAACAGGCCCTGCAGGACCCTGGCCAGAGAGCTCTCCCTAAGGAGGGATTTTTACATCCAGGTTTTGTAGGATGAGTAGGAGTCCACGGGGCAGGTCTGTCTGCCATCCCGCACCCACCGACCCCAGGCCAGTGACCGTGGGAGTTCCGTGTGGACGTGGCAGGCCCGGTGAGGGTGGCGTACGAGATTAATTTCCTCCTGGGGTACAGGGCGGGCCCTTGGACGTTTCGGGGCTCGGAGACTTGGGACAGAGCTTTCCAGCTACTCTTCAGTTGAAGGGAAAAGGAGGAGGTGGGGTGATAGAGGCCGGACCTCCCACCCTGACCACTGACCAGCCCGGGCCCCGGGCAGGTCACCCAACCTCTCTGGGCGTCTGTGGGGAGAGCATGTGAGATCACACACCCACCTCTGTGGGTTGCTGGGGAAATTGAGTCGGTGAATGCACAGGGAGCCTGGGGTGCCGGGCACCCAGCCGGCATGCGTGAGGCTGGTCGTAAATCCTGGAAGGACGTTGCCAGCCACGGGTCTCTAGGTGTCTCCCAAAGCCAAATGCCAGTCGATGGCCTATGGAAGCTAATTCATACTAACAGGTTTGGGGCTGCTATGGTCCAGTCACCATCCTTGGCCCTGCTGGTCCTGGGGTGGGCCACTCCCCGGCATCCCTTTGCAGTGTATGGGGCTCTGGCCTGTCCAGCCTTCTCAGTCCTGGCCTCCAGCGATGCCCAGGGCCTGGGCATGGCTGGCGGCAGACCAGGGCTGGCTCCCCCGGCCGTGGGGTGGGAGGGGAGGCCGCGGTCAGCTTCCCGGGGCAAGCCCAGGGGGCACCATTGAACAGCCCTTGAGACTGGGTCGAAGCACAGCGTCATTCTGTGCCTTGGTTTCCCTATCTGCTGAGCAGGCAGACAGCAGCTAGCCTCCTGGGCTGACGTGGGGCTTGCTGGGAGTGCTCTGTGGGGACCAGGGTCCCAGGGCAGCAAGGAGTCTTTCTGTCGTGGAGACAGCTCGGCGCTGGGGCCTGCTGGGGAGGCGGGCCGCCTCGCGTGCCGGCCCTGTTTGGGCCCAGAGCGCGGGTCCACTCTGCCCTGGGCCCTGCAGGGCTCCGCAGCCCTGGGCTTGCTCTCCGGGCCAGGGAGGACGGGGGTCCAGGGAGGGTGGTGGGGGTCCCGGGAGGCGGGGGGTCCAGGGAGGCGGGGGGTCCAGGGAGGCGGGGGGTCCAGGGAGGCGGGGGGTCCAGGGAGGCCGGGGGTCCAGGGAGGGCGGGGGTCCAGGGAGGGCGGGGGTCCAGGGAGGGCGGGGGTCCAGGGAGGCGGGGGGTTCAGGGGGGCGGGGGTCCAGGGAGGCGGAATCCAGGGAGGCGGGGGTCCAGGTTGGTGGGAGTCCCAGAGCCCTGCGTGTGTCCTCCCCAGCCGTGCGCCCTCCCCGGGCTGCTGCTCGGAGCCGGCCTGCCTCCCTCCCTCCCGGCCTGGCCTAGCTTCTGCCGACCGGCCAGGTACCCGTGAGAGGTCTCCTGACCTGGACGGGACACCCGGCTCCAGCAGCCATGTCCGGAGAGGCGCCTCAGCCCTTCCGTCCCCTTCCTTACGCACTTTTTGCTTTCATTTACATTTCTTAGAAAATTAAAATAGGATAACTTTATTTAGAAATTAATCATTTTTAAATATTTCAAAATAATTTAATTTTATTAAGTGGCATCAGCACGTGTCTGTGCCTGGCGGGCTGTCCACCACGTGTAGCACCAAGGGTCAGGGCCACCTGAGCCACCCGCGCCACCTGCCTTGGGGTTCCCAGTGCGTCGCCGAGCCGCTTGGCACGCGTGTTGGCGGCCGGGGTCTCTGGCGCCCTGGCGGCCGGGGCCTCTGGGCATCTCTGCTCATCGAGGGGTGGGTTTGGCCGGCCTGCGGCCCCCCGCGGTTCTGGGTCCGTCCTCTGCTCACCGCTGTCCCCTCCCGCAGGTCACGGTCACCACCATCGGCTACGGGGACAAAGTGCCCCAGACGTGGGTCGGGAAGACGATCGCCTCCTGCTTCTCTGTCTTCGCCATCTCCTTCTTCGCGCTCCCCGCGGTAGGTGCTGCCTGCGGCCGTCTCGCTGCTCCCCACGGCCCCTGGGCAGACCCTCCCACGGGGGGGCTTATTCGGGGCTGGGGTGGCTCCTGCTCCTGGCCCTGTGGGGTCCCTCGCAGCCAGTGTGGGGGGGCCCGCGTGCTGCTGTGTCTCCGCAGAGGCAGGTCTGTGCCCAGAGGGAGCAGTGGCCCTCACTGCGTCACGGGAGGGCTTCCTTCCACGTCCTTTGCAGAAATCAGACCGTGCGAGTAAAACTCTTCTAGCCCACCGTGTCTTTGCTAGGCGTGTGTGTGTGATGTGTGTGTATACGTGTGTGTCCTGTGTATCGATGTTATATGTATGTATGTGTATCGATGTTATATGTATGTATCACGTATACACGTGTACTGTGCTGTGTGTGCATAGTATGTATGTGTGTCTATAGGTAGTATGTCGTGTGCATGTGTCTATATGTTATATTTGTACATAGTGTGCATGTGTGTGTACGTGTGTGGAGGTGTCACAGGTGTGTGTGTGTGTGTACTGTATATCTGTGTTGTAGGTACATGTTTATATACCCGCATGTAGGTGTGTCAGTACGTGTGCCTGCTGTGTGTGTGTCACAGGCACACGTACACACGTGAAGGTGGCACCCACATGCGTGTGCACGGCTGGATGCTCCGCACTGACAGGGAGCTCCCTGCTGCTGGGTGCGTCCCCTGTCCCTGTCCCCCACCAGCTGTCCTGGCTGAGGCCACTATCCCGTTCCTGGGCGAACGCGGAGGGGCCAGCCCCGGCCCCCGCAGTCTCGGGGTGCGGGTGTGGAGGCTCTGGTCCCCCCCAGGGGCCGGGCCCCGCGCTGGACGAGCCCCGGCGTGTGAGCTCTGTCTCCGTGCCGGCCAGGGCAGGCCAGGCAGGGTCACGGGTGCCGGCCTCGCTTGCGTGGCCTCCAGCACGGACCAGGCTTGACCTTCCCTCGCTGGCGACCCGGGTCCTGGCCTGTGTGGACGTGGGCCCCGCTGCCTCCCTTCCCAGGGGATCCTCGGCTCCGGGTTCGCGCTGAAGGTCCAGCAGAAGCAGAGGCAGAAGCACTTCAACCGGCAGATCCCGGCCGCGGCCTCGCTCATTCAGGTGCGTGGCCCTGGTTGCCATCGTTGCCTTGGTCGCTGTCATCGCTGTCGCGTCCAGCCCGCGTGTCCACCTGGGGACATAGAGCCAGCGTTAGTGGGAAAGTCTCCGCCCGGCACTGACCTGGCCAGCCCGGGGGCGCTGTGCTTGGGGGCTCTGCCTCGGTGGCGCCGGGGCAGGCACAGGGCCCTGGGAGCCCCTCTGTCTCCACGGCGGCCCTGCCCAGGGTCACACCCCACGGGCTGGGACGAGGCGTGGCCGTGGCAGCTACACGGTTAGACACGGGGGCTCTGAGGTTGCCTTGCCCGGGCCAGCCTTGGGGTCCCGCCACTCTCCCCTCTGCTCCCCCTCCGTCCACACTGCCTGCCCCAGGGCTGAGCCTGGGCCCCGGTGCCTGTCCTCGAGGGGGGACGGCCCAGTGCCCCTGGCAGCACCAGCAGTGGACAGCAGGGGCCGGCCCCTGGGCCCACAGGGCAACCGGGGAGGGAAGTTTCTGCAGACGGCGGGAGCTGGCGGCCCTGAGCCCCGAGACGCTGGGCCCTGGGGGTCCCCAGCTGTCAGGACACAGCAGAGAACCGGGCTGCCCCTCGATGTAGACAAGAACTCACTTAGGAGTAAGAACCGTCCACAGACCGTGTCCCTGTGGCCTTTGTTGCTGGCCGCTGAGGGGCCAGGGCCGCCCCGAGGAGTGGCGGCGAGGGGCCGACGCGTGGGCGTGGGCAGGAGGGGTGGGCCGGCGCCCAGCTGTGGACGCGGCCGTCTGCCCGGCGCAGTGGCCCAATGCTCCCCCCCCCGGGAGGTCTGGACCCCCCCAGGCCTCGGTAACCCGAGCAAGCACCCCGCCCAGGCAGGGCCCTGGCACGGGTGGCAGCTGGCGGAGCCGTGGTTCTGCCAGGGTCCCCACGCGCCCTTCCGGAGCACGTCCAGAGCCAAGCGTCCGGTGTCCGGACGTCACCCCTGCGTGGGAAGGAAACTCCGGCCGGGGCTGGCGGGCTGTGCTCCTGCCACAGGCCTGGTTCCGTGGCCCACGGCGTCTCCTCTCGGGGAGACCACGAGTCAGGCCCCTGAGCTCGCGTGGCTGACCGCCGGCCGTGGGCAGCACAGTGAGGCCCTGCGAGCGCTGACGCTGCCCCCTGGACCGCACGTCCTGTAACCGGGGGCTCCCTCCGCCCACACCACACCCCCCGGGGCAGGCTCGACCCGGGCCGCAGGTGGCACGAGGGTGGTGGTGGGCAGCCAGGGTGCGCGGTGTGCCAGGGAAGGGGATGTCCCTGCATTGGCCGCAGAAAGGCCGGGCTGTGGCCTCCTCCCGACACCCGTCCCCTGTGGGGTGGGGTCTTCCCGGGCCCCTCGACAGCTGCCCGGTCTGCCCAGGGCTGTCGTCATGGTGGCGTCACCGTCACCAGCGAGCCACCGTCACGTGGGCACCTTTTCTACTCGCCCGTCTCAGGCTCACACGCCGTCCTCGTGAGCGGCTCTGGGAGCCCGTCCCGCCCCACCCCTGCCCCACCTGTGGGGCCCTGTGGGTAGTCCCACGCGGGGGCACCCTAGAGCACAGCAGAGGGCTTCGCCATGTGCCGCCAGAGCCCCCCACCAGCAGAGTGGCGCTCGGGGGCTTCTGGAAGGGGTGCAGCCTCCCCTCCTGCCAGCCCAGGGTCCCCGCCCCTGCCTGACGCCCGCACAGGCCCCAGCGGCCCCTCCGCAGCCCTTCCTGGCGGGAGGCCTGGGCCGCCGGGTCTGTGCCCGGCTCCTGCCCTGGCGGGTGGTCGTGGCCTGTGCTTGGCAGGGCCTGGGCCCGTCTGTGGGCTGGAGGGCCGGGGAGGTGGCGCCTTGCAGGGGCTGGGGGGAGGCTCGCAGGCGAAGTGGGGCGTCTGGGCCGGGAGTAGCAGCCGGGTGCGGGGCGGTGAGCTGCCCGGCGCGGGAAGGGTGTCGGGGCAGAGGGCCGAGAGGGGTAGGGCAGGGCCCCGGGGCGCAGGACTCGGGGTGGGGGGGGGCGTGGCTCCCACAGAGGCCCTGGTGGCTGCCACGACAAGTGACGGCCCCCTCCCGCCCCATTCCAGACCGCGTGGAGGTGCTACGCCGCCGAGAACCCCGACTCCTGCACCTGGAAGATCTACGTCCGGAAGCCCGCCCGGAGCCCCGCCCTGCTCTCCCCCAGCCCCAAGCCCAAGAAGTCTGTCATGGTGAGTAAACTCCACGGCAGGGCTGCCGGTCAGCGAGGGGGGGAGAGGCTGGGGAGGTCATGGCCTACGGCTGGGGTCCGGGGCGCCTGTGTCCCGGGTGTTTTGCTGCAGGGGCCAGGCGCTGGGGCCCATGCCCATGTGGGTCCCTGCCACCCAGCGTCCCCAGGCATGGGGGCCTGTGGCACTGTCTGCTCCCAGGCCGAATTCTGCGTGCGGGTGGCAAGGAAGCTCTCGAGAGGGCCTCGCCGTCGGGCTTTGCCTGCTGCTAGGCGGGGCAGGAGGGCCGCAGCGGGGCAGCTCGGGGAGGAGGGGCTGGAGGTCACGGGCTCGGCGAGTTTGGGCAGGCTCAGGGCAAGAGTCTTGTGGGACGGCGTGGGCGGTGGGCTCCGGCTTGGCGTCAGCCTCACTGGGGAGACCTGGCCTCCCTGCCTCCAGTCGCCACTGAGTCCCATGCCTTTCTTCCTTCTGCCGGGACACCTCCCGGTCTCCACCCGGCCTGCCTGCTCCCTGCTGCTCGGGACCCCTCAGAGAGGCCCTGCTGGCCCCTGGTCTGACCCTCACGTGCTCTGGCCCTCCCCGGCCACGGCCCTCATCGCTACCTGCCCGGCACCATCTCTCGCACTCACCTGTGCACCTGTTTCCTGTCTGCCGCGCCCCCCCCCCCACCGGGCCGTGTGCTCACCTGGAAGCAACAGGGCCTCCAGGCGGTGCAGCCCCGCCCCAGCCCCCACGAAGGGCGCTGGAGCTTGCCCGGGGCCCTGGTTCCCGGCGTGGCACCCACCGTGGCACCCACCGCAGCCCCGGGCTCTGGGTTGCCCTAGGCGCCGTGAGGTCAGCGGAGGGCTTGGCCGCGGGTGCCCAGGAGCCACCAGTGTGTCCTGCTTTTTTTTTTAGGTCAAGAAGAAAAAGTTCAAGCTGGACAAGGACAACGGGGTGAGCCCCGGAGAGAAGATGCTCACGGTGCCCCACATCACCTGTGAGCCCCCCCAGGAGCGCAGGCCCGAGCCCTTCCCCGTCGACGGCTACGACAGCTCCGGTGAGGACCCTGGCGCGGCGGGCGGGGCCGGCCTGGGTGCCCCGCTCTGGCCCCACGGCCTCATGGCCACCCCGCCGCTTCCGGAACCTTCTCTTGGGCGCCCCTGCCCCGCCCCGATGTGCAGATTGTTGCTGCCTGTTTTGAGAGGCTGAGCACGTTTTCTCCTTGGGCCTGAGGTCTCTGCTAAGGAGGGATGGACAGAGGGTGGGGCTTCTAGAAGCTTCTGGAGGCTGTCTAGCTGCTTCCCGCTCAGTCTTTCCTGGGGGGGGGGCCTGGGCACACGTTCTGTCGAGAGGGGAAGCTCAGACGGATGACAGGACAGACCGGCGGCGCTGGCATGGGGGAGGGGTGGCCTCTCGGGCCTGCGGTCAGGGAGTCCGGGGAGGGTGGTGGGGATGGCCCTGGAGGAACGGCGCCCGGGCTGGGCAGGTGGTGGGGCCAGGTGGGCCTCATGACCCGGACCCGCCTCTGCCTCTCTCTCTTACGTGGCTCACGAGGCGGCAGGATGAGCCACGCTCCATGGCACCTGTGGGCCACACCTGTGGCCACGCTCCACGGCACCTGCGGGCCACACTGCGCCCGTCGAGGGTCTGGGCGTCCCGAGTCTGAGCAGAGGTTTTCCCACGTTAAAGCTGCTGTTTGATAGACGTGGGTGGGGAGGCCCAGAGAGGCTGCGCGTGTGCTCCCCAGCCCGGGTGGCTGGACCGGGGCAGCCACGGTTGTCACCGCTGCGTGCGTCTCCCCAGCTGTGGCTCTTCCCAGGCCGCTGACTGCGCAGATGTGGAAGGTGCCCGCAGGGACCCTGTCTGTCTGGAGGGATTGGCCTCGCATCCTCCTGGGCTGCCTCGCTGGGGCCAGGGCGGGGCTCGGTCTCCCCGGACACCCCGCCTCGCCGGAGGCTCCCGCCGTCCCGCTGTCGTGGAACCCCACATGGAGAGAGATGTTCGTAGGAAGGGCCGCGGACCGGGCGGCTTCGTGGGGTCCGCAGGTCTGGGGACCTCAGGCTCCAGGGTTGTGGCCCAACCCTCAAAGATTAGGAAGGGCTGGCCACAACGGACGGGTCCCCTCTTCACCGGGAGCTCTGGCCTCTCTCTTGGGACTTCGGTGCCCACCACCCTGGGGAAACCATGACCCGGCATGGCTGGATTCCTGAGCGGCTCTCTGACAACCCAACGAGGCTTTTGCCGTCCCCTGGGACCAGCGTGGGGGGTTTGGGATAACCGTGCTGCGCCAGGGAGGATCTCGCGGAAGCCGTCTGTCTGCCGCGTCTCGTGCGAGGCGCCCTGTCCCTGCCCCGCCAGCCCCTTCCTTCCTGTCACACGCGGGGGGCGGGGGGCACTGTGTCCTCGTGCAGAGACGGCACTGAGCAGAGGCTGGTGCCGGGTTACCAGGGAGAGGTTCTGGCCAGTGTTGTGAACGCCCCTGCCCAGGGCGTGGACCCCCAGGGTGGAAGGAGGCCCCCGTTTTGGAAACACGTGGCCCTGACGGTCGAGGAGGAAACTTAGGCTGCGGGTGAAATGCCAGCCTCACCCTCCAAGCACGGGACCCCGAGTCTTCCCCGCAGAGAAGTGGGAGGTCGGGCCGAGGGCACCGTGTGCAGGAGCCCACGTCCCCTCGGCCACCCGTGGACGTGAGGCACCCAGGACTGTGTTGGTTCCTGCTGGCCTGGTGTTTGCAGGTCAAGGTCTCGCCCCTCTGTGCCTCGTGACTCCAAGGCGTGTCTCTCCCAGGAGGCCCGACCCAGCCCGGAGGACCTGCCCTCCTCTCCCCTTGATGGCTGTCTGCCAAGGGCCCCACTCACCAGTCCCCTGGAGGCAGGAACTCCAGGCTGTTGAAAGCGGGCCCTGCCTCAGTCGTGCTGTGTGGCCGGGGCCTTGTGTGCGATAGAAAGGCGCCGTCCGTAGGCGTTGCCTGCCCGGGCCAGGAGGCGTGGGGTCCAGAGCTAGCACCGAGTGCCACGTACTTCCCTGCGCAGGAGGTACTCAGTGTTCTTTGGCCGTTTCTGAATCCGTCCCTCCCCGCCTCAGTCCTCTCCCCAGGGCCTAGGCCTGGCATTCCAGAATGTTCCAGGACCCGGTAGAACATTCCAGCTTGTTGGCAATTGACAGTGAGGATGTTGTCACCGTCTTAAGCAGGGCAGAGGGTGACAAGCCCACACTGCTCCCCACCTCTGTGCTCACGGGCCCGGCACACGGGGAGGCAGACCGGTCCCCGGTCCCCACGCCGCAGCGTGGCGGGAGGGCAGGAGTGTTCCGGAAAGGGGCTGTGGCTGTCCCCTGCTCGGGGCCTTCCTGGGCATCCCACTGCGGAGTCCCCAGGCAAAACGGAGCCTGGGCTTTGGCTCGGCCGGGCCACATCCCGGTGAGCCCCTGGGACGCTCCCCGCCTGCCCGCTGGAGTGGCACAAAGGGGGATTGTGCCAACAAACGCCCGGTGCCCCCGCGGCTCCCGCTTCGGTGGTAGCACCATTGTCCCGATGCAAATGGGGGCTTTCTGTGCATGCTAATGGCAGGTCGGGCGTGGCCGCGGGCTGGGGGAGGCAGCCGGGCTGCTTCCTGAATGCGGGGCGGCCATCGGTGCGGCCATTCAGCCTGTGTAGTGTTATTAAGCCACAGGGCCGCCTGCGGAATGTTAATGAGGCCCGAGTGGAGAGAGCCGGGCGGCTTTGTGGGATGCTCCCGCACGGAGGGGTTTTCTCCTTCCTGCTACCGGGAAGAGTCAGCCCAGCCCGGGGCACTGGATTTCTGGAGCCTGGGCGGCTGGCCTGGCCCCAGGGACCCAAGCGGCCCCTGCCCCTGGGTCGCCAGGTCCGCCCAAGTCCTCCTTGCCCTTGGAGGCTCTTGGAGAGCCCTGCGTGGGGAGAGGGTTGCTGATCCCAGGAGCGCCACCGCCGGGGAAGCCCCGCAGCCCCGTTGCCAGGAGACACAGCGTGAGCGCCCGTGCGGGTACCAGACCTGGCCCGGCCGCGCTTTCCCGGAGGGTGAACCTGCAGGTCTGGCGGGCGCCGTCCCGACCCTGGCTCCGCAGCCGCCCGCGCCAGCCCCTCTCGCTCTCTCGCTCTCGGCGCTGTGGCTCGGCCCCGCTGCAGGCGGAGGCCTGGGGCCACGTGGGGGCCTCCCCGGGGAAGGAAGGGACCCGGGAAGGAAGGAGTCCCCGCGTGGAGACACCAGAACCCAGACTGACTGCAGCAGGAGGGGCCTGTGAGGTCCCCACGGGGGAGCCGGGCGCACGGGGGGAGCCAGCCCCCACCCAGCACTGCGGCAGGCGCTCCCCACCACCCTCTGGCCGGGCAGGGAGGTGGAGGAGGGCCGGCCGCCACTCAACCACCTGCCGAGCACAGTGCGCCCAGCCGGCCACGTCTCTGCAGGGAAGTGTCGCAGACGCCCACAGCAGACTCCCGGGGACCAGGCCACACGCCTGCCTGGGGGGAGCACGGGGCAGGGCCTGGACACCTGCGAGGCCACAGTGGCCGTTGCTGCTGCCCGTGGCGTCCTGGAGACTCGCCGTGTGGGCGTCAGACACACGGGCAGGCCCCTGCCCAGAGGGACCAAGGGGACGCTGGCCACTCAGGTCTCCAGGTCGAAGAGGCCCGGGCTGGAGCCACACCCTGTCTCCCTGTCCTCAGAGCTGTCGCCGTCGCCGCTCCCTCTGCCTGCAACAGTCTTTCCTCCTCCAGGGACTCCCGAAGGAGCCGCCCCTGCCAGACACCCTCCCCCCGACGCCGCTCGCCCCCGCAGGCTGCTGCCCACCCGCCCCGGTCGCCTGTCTGCCCCTCGAGGGGGATCGGCCCTCCCGAGCTGGTGCTGCACGTGACGCGTGGCTCGTGTTGAGGAAACACGCGTGGCCGCGCCACTGCCCAGGTTTCATCCCCCGGTGGTCGTGCCGGGCTGGCCAGGGGGGCACCACGAGGGCTGCATAAGCCACAGATCCTCCCCCCCTTCCCGTTTCCAGCCCCCCGCAGGCTCCAGCCGCCCGGCCGCCTGCTCCGTCCCGGCCTGTGGGCGGCGTCCACCAGGCCCGCTCCGCCTGGGCTGGGAGCGGTTTCCCGCCGTCCCAGGAGGAGGAACAGGAGCAAGATGGGGGGCAAAGCAGCGGGGGGCCTCTGGCTCAGTGCAGGCACGCCCAGGGAGGCTTCCCGGGGGAGGTGACGTCAGGGCTGAGCAGAGCTGGCCCCTGAAGAGGCCGCAGCGCGGGGGCACAGCGGTGCCTCCTGGGGTCTGCGCGTAGGTGCCAGGCGCCCTGGGCGCAGCGTCCGTGGGGTGGGGTTTCGCGTCGCCTGCCTCCCGGGAAGGCGTGGGGGTCACCCGCACCCGTGGGCGCTGCGCGGGCTGCAGTCGTTCACTGTGGACAGCTCCGGGCGCCAGGAGCCGCGTCGGGAACTCCACGAGCTGGGGCTTCACTGGCCACGGGGCAGCTGCGAGCTCTGTATGTCCCACGGCCCGGTGGTCCGGATCGGGGCGTGGGGCCGGAGCAGGTCCGGGAGCGCAGGAGGACAGGCGGCAGGCCAGCCACGCGGGACCTGGAGAGGAGGAAGAGGGGCTGGGAGGCCAGGACCCAGGGTCTGCTGGCGCGGGGGCTCGGGGAAGCCCTGGGGGCGAGGCGGAGAGCAGGGCGGCCGGGGCGAGCCGGTGGACGGAGAGGCGGTTTAGTGTTGCTCCGTTTCCGTCACGGCATTTCGGACAGGCAGATGCCGCAGTGCAAAGAATGACGTGTCACAGCCCACAGCCCCCGCTGCCGGAGGGGCACGCACCGTGTGCGGACCTGTCCCCCCTCACGTCCCTTTGCTTTTCTGAGACGTGGGCTCTGCACCCCCATCCGGCGGGCGTGAGCGCCAGCTCCTCCACGCACTGGCCGGCCCCGGCGCTCCCAGCCTCCTTACGTTGAGCACGATCGTGTAGTCGTGTCTCGCTGTGGTTCTCATTTGCATTTCTCTAATAACTAATGACGCCGAGCATCTTTGTACGTGCCTGACCACATATCTTCTTCGGCGGAGTGCCTGCT